CTAGAGCCACATATAAATGAAAATATGAAGATATGATAATGGTGACACCCTTCAGATATCAATGGGGGACGGAAGTAGAATTATAGAGAAAAATTAGTTTGTCACTTGGAGAAAAAGTAAGCTAGACTCCCACCTTACAACATAAATATGAATGTATTCCAGAGAAAATAAAGACCTAAATGTGATTCTCTGGAGAGAGTAATAAACTGTAAAACAAAGAGAAGAAAACATAGAGTATCTTTGTGATGCTGAAATGCAAACTGAAATTTTAAACAAGACCCCCAAAGCATCATTGAGAGTAACCCATAAGGTTTGGCTCAGTGGATAGAGCATCAACCTGTGGACTGATGGGTCCTGGGTTTGGGTTCCATTCTGGTCAAGGGCACATGCCTGGGTTGCGGGCTCCATCCCCAGTAGGGAGTGTGCAGTAGGCAGCCGATTTATGATTCTCCCTCATCATTGATGTTTCTATCTCTCCCTCTCCCTTCCTCTCTGAAATCAATAAAAATATATGAGAGAGAGAGAGAGAGAGAGAAACAAGATTGTATCCATCAGCTAGGAGAGATAAATGGAAGAACCTGAGGAATTAAGTACACTCTGAAGAATATTTCTAGATCAGGGCAGCTAAGTAAACCATAAGGATATATATAGGTTTGTTAGGAGATATATCATTATAACTTACCTATCCAAAATATTTTCCCCTGTGTCTACTTTCCTTCATTTAAAATGAAGTACATATCTTTCAATAAATATTTTTTTAGTTCCAGACATTGTACTCAGTGAAGGAAGTATAAAGAGAAATAAGCTTGGGTCCTGGTCTTTAAAGAACTCATAATCTAGGTAGAGAGACAGATGAGAAAACTAAATAAAATGTTTTAATTCCTATTCTACAGGTAGTAGCCAAGAGGCAACTACCTTCATTGCTCAGGTATTTGAGCAATGAAGAAAGTCATTCCAGGCCAAGGAAACAGCACTAACAAAGTCACAGGGTTTTAAAAGAGTATGGTGTGTTGGAAAATGTTAAGTCAGTAACCTAATACGGGACATTCTGAAATGTTTGTTACTGAATAGAGAAAGTAGCCTATAGGGTTTATTTTAATTTTTCCTTAATAGCACTGATTATATTAACTAATTATCACCCTTGAAGACAAAACCAAAGAAGATGAAGCACTGAAATGATGAGGGATACATGTTAATGGTTAAGGAAGAGAAGCATGCTAGGCAGCACTGATGACTAACCTTGGAGTGATAACAAACACTGACTGTATCATGGATAGAGGAAGAGGTTGTAATCAGCTACATTGGTCAGGGAAGATTTCATGGAAGTGGTAGGGCTCCATTTGATCATTCAAAAAATAGAGAACTGAGAACTGACTCTATACATCAGGGCTGTGCTTGGAGCAGGAGATTCAAAACTATTATCTACTAAGGAACAGATAATTATATAATTGCAAAAATAAAGTAATGGATGCTATAATAGAAGCTAGCACAGGCTGATATGAGAAAACCTCAGAGAGACTTTTGCGTTAGAGCAGGGAGGTCAGGGATGGACGTTCAAAGGTACTGCACTGACTTTGATGGATTAGTAAGATTCCGTCAAGTAAAAGGGAGGGAAACACATTTTGCAATGCCTCAGTTTAAAGAGAACACACCTCCTCTAAGGAACATGAAATAGTTCAGGATGGCTGGATCAAAGGCTGGAAGGCACTGAAAGAAGTCTCTAAGGCAAGTAGGAAGGGGTGATTGTGAAAAGCCTTTTACAGGATGTTAAAGAATGTGGATTTTTATCCTGAAGACAACGTGGAAGTTGATGAAGATTTTAAGCAGGGATGTGACATGATTTAGATTCAAGTTTCACAAAGATGTTAAAGGCAACGTTGATGGCCCTGGCTGGTGTGGCTCAGTTGTTTAGCACTGTTCCGTACATGCATAAAAAGGTCACGGGTTCAGCCTCCCTTTTGCAGCCCGACCAGATATGGAACCTGAAACCCTTTAGTGTAAGAGTTGATGCTCCAACGAACTGAACCACCTGATGAGCTCCCTCTCAATTTTTAATTGTAAACTATCTATATATATAAAAGCCTAAGTGGCCGTCCGACTGGTAGCTATGATGTACAATGATCATTAGGGGGCAGACGCCCCAACCAGTAGAGGAGGGAGCCCGATTCCTCGCGGAATCGGCTGTGGGTTAGGTTGCTGCTGAGGCACTGTTGGCCCTGAATCTGCTTCACCCGCACCCCGGACCCAGAGATCAGTTTTGGCCTGATCCCTGCAGGCCAGGCCGAGGGACCGCCAGTTAAAGATATTTAAGAAGGTACAAAACAAAATAAAAATATAAAATAAAAGGTCACCGGTTCAATTCCCAGTCAGGACACATGCTGGGGTTGGTTCGGGTCCCTGGTCAGGGTGCATACAGGAGGCAAATGAACGACGTTTCTCTCTCTCTCTCTCTCTCTCTCTCTCTCTCTCGGCATACAGGAGGCAAATGAATGATGTTTCTCTCCCTCTCTCTCTCTCTCCCTTTATCTCTCTCTAAAATAAATAAAAACATATTTTTTTAAAAAGGCAATGATGATGAAGGTAATTGAATATGAACTGATATGGGTGCAACCTAAGAGGCAGAGAGATTAAAAGGCTGTTGCTGCTGTTTAGAGAAAATAAGAGAAGATTTCAAATGAACACTAGTAGTGGTATTAAGAGAGAAGTATGTGTAAGGTTTGAGCTACCAGAGAAAGAAGTAAGTAAAAATATTCCCTGTGGAAATGATGTGAATAAATATTTGGAAAAGCGGAGGATAAGCATACCTGTTTACCTGGAGTATACAGTATTTGACAGTAGAATGATTAGCTTTGGCCGCATGGAATGAATGGCCAGAGTTATGGAACAGTGAAGTGATGTGGTTGAAAACATTGGTGGAGTCCGCCAATGACAAGGCTATTACACAAATAGGATATTACTTTTTCCCTATTAACATTAAATGTATAAATTATTTTTATTGCAGTAAAATATACATATAAAATGTGTCATTTCAACTATTTTTGAGTGTGCAGTTCAACAGCATTAAGTACATTCACATTGTTGTGAACCGTCAACACAGCCTATCTCCAGATCTTTTTCATTAATCCAAACTAAACTTTTTACCAATTAAAAAACAACTCCCCGCCCTGACCGGTTTGGCTCAGTGGATAGAGTGTCAGCCTGCAGACTGAAGGGTCCCGGGTTCGATTCCAGTCAAGGGCATGTACCTTGGTTGCGGGCACATCCCCAGTGGGGAGAGTGCAGGAGGCAGCTGATCGATGTTTCTCTCTCATCGATGTTTCTAACTCCCTTTCCCTCTCCCTTCCTCTCTGTAAAAAATCAATAAAATATATTTAAAAAACAAACAAACAAAACAAAACAAAAAACAAAAAAAAAAACAACTCCCCGATTCTTCCCCACACCCCCCACCCCTGGCAACTACTCTTCTTGTTGTCTCTAGGAGTTTGGCTACTCTCGGTGGCACCTCACATAAGTGGAGTCCTACACTGTTTGTTCTTCGGTGTTTGGCTTACTTCACTTAGCTAAAAATTGCTTTCCTCAACACCCTGGTTATTCCGTAGCTGGATTTTAATGTGTATGCTATACTATATGCTGTATTTGAAAACAAATATCCAGCTTTTCTTACTTGATAATTTTTTTCCACTTACTGCTTTAGGACACTTCACTCCAGGAAATTACAAACTTAGCATTCTTAACGGCAACTTAGGGTCTGTCGTAAATAACTTTTTCCTGGTCTATTTACTCCAAGTGTCTATATTGTGGATTGTTTTCAATGTTTACGGGCACTTGACCTTTTGTAGAATCCCACCCAGCACATTAAGGGTAGTATGCAATAGCATAAAACAACTCGGGCAGAAATGAAACTTATTTGAACTCAGGAGAAGGGACGTTTATTCGGGATGCTGACATGAAGGCTCTCTCTTCTGAAGCTATGTAATTTCCCTATCTGGGACTGAATCGCTCTCCATGAAAAGAATTAAAGACGCACACACACTTCTCTTATCGTCAGCGAGGGATAAGCCCCGACGTTTCGGATGGCGGGAAACTATTTGCGAACTGTCAGGGTTGTCTCACCTTTCCTTTGAAGCATCCCTAGGTTATCAGTGCTCTGCCAACGAGTCGAGTAATTTTGGACAAGACACTAATCCTCTGGAGGTCTCAGTGGGTGAGATCAGACCAGCCTGTGCTTCCCAAACCACAGCACAGCACACGGAGAACGTGGTCGTGCAGGGCACAGGTACCCCGAGGAGACACCCGCGCAGCACAGGGGGAACCCCGCACACACCGGCGGGGAGGCTCTCGCGGAGCGCTCCCGGCCCCGAGCTAGTTCCAGCGGACGCGCCACGGCCGTTTCAGAAGACGAGCTGGGGCTCCTGCTGTTTCTGAAATCATCGATCTTTCCCTCCTAGTAAAAAAATAAAATAAAATCTTTATTCCTTAAGAGGGCCGAAGTGTAAAAAGGCACAAAAGCCGCAAAAGCTCGAACTACGGCCCTCCCTACCGTTCGCTCTCCGCGAATCCTACGTGTCTTCCCAGCAGGCTCCGGGACATCGCGAGACTTTCTTAATTCTCGCGAGAGTTGCCGGCAGCCATCTTCTTGGGGGTGCTGGGAGCCGGGAAGACCCCCCGAATCGTTCCCATTGAGCTGCTTTTCCTCTTCGCTTTCTTCATTTTGCCTCTTCTGCGTTACCGACAAGCAACTGGTCCCGCGGCCGAGAGAAAGCCCGGGTCTAGGCGCGTGTCGCGCTCCCGGTTCCGAACGATTGGCTGGGGTGGAGGGAAGGGGGAGGGCTCAGGCAAGCCGTTGCTGCCTCAGCCCGGGCCGGGGTCCGGGGAGGGGGAAGCTCCTGGCACCCCGTGGACTCGCGGCCTGCGGCGGTCCCCGCGGAGCTGTTCACCGATCCGGCTCGCGGGAACCTGCCACCGGCGCCTCCCACCGCGGCCCACGCGGGCGGCGCGCGGAGGAGGGGGCGGGGGCAGCGGCGGCTGTAGCGGCCGCGACCTGGGCGGGCGGAGGAGAGTGACGGGCCTGGGGGCCGCTGTGGATGGTTTCTAAAATGATCATTGAAAACTTCGAGGCACTGAAGTCCTGGCTCAGCAAGACTCTCGAGCCCATGTGAGTATCCGGGGCTGTCTCCTTGCAGGGAGGGAGGTGGGCGATTGGCGGGCGCCGATCAATGCAGTTGCCCCAGATGCATGCGGTGGAGGCCGAAGCGGTGGACGGAGGTCTCGGGGCTCCTGTGTTTTCTCCTCCGCTTCTGTCCTCGTCCTCAGGTTCTGCATATCCCGGAGGGCCTTCATCGTATCGCCGAGTTGGTCCTTGAACCGCTGTCTCCTGTTCTTGTCTTCACGTTATAGGTAGACTGATCCCCAACCTACACACATACACACACTTTGTGTTTCCTGAAGGTCCCCAAATCGGCTGCTTTCTCTTTTCTTTTTTTTTTTTTTTTAGCGAATCCGTGCATAATCTCCTGCCTACAGACTATCATGCTTATTTAAACGAACTGAATGGTACTTATTAAAGATTTGGATAGTTCTAGTCTAAGCCACTCAGGTTTTACCTAAATGCTATCCCTGCAAGAAAAGCCACGTCTCCCATGTGCCGGCTGGCTCAGCGGCCCCTCTCTTAGCTGGTTGAAGATGTAACAGGTGCTGAGATGCTCAGTAAAATTCCCTTTTGCCACCTACACGGTCGTTGGCTTGTAGAGGAGGAAGAAATGCAGTCCGTCCATATGGAATTTTTAGCACTTTTAAGTGGGGTGTTGTAGATGGGCTATGTGTTTTGGGGGAGGGGATTCAGAGTGCTGAAACGCTTTGGATTGGAAAAAATGAGTGTTTTAAGGATTTATCTCTGACTACATAAGAATATATATAACGGGCCAAGTGCTTTATAAAATTGGTTGATTTACAATAAACTTAAAGTGCATTGGGGAAAATTCACTCATTCAATAAATTTATTAAACACCTACTTGGTACTATGGGAAGCCTTGGGGATGGAGCTTTCAAATTCCAAAATTGACAAGGCATAGTAAGCAAATACGATAACTTCAGGCAATAATAAGAATAGTGACGGTTGTAATAATAGATGTAAAAGACTGATTAGAAGGCCCCTCAGAGGAGGTGACATTTGAGCAACATCTTGGGGGAAGAAGGAACCATCTGTGTGAAAGTCTGAAAAAGAATGTTTCTTGTGGCAGGAACAGCAAGTGCAATGGCTCTTAGCAGGAGTGATCATAGTGTGTTCTAGGGAGAGAAGGAAGGTAGTTACAGCTCCAAGGAACCTTGTGGTGGGGGAGAGAATGGAAGGACATGAAGTTGTAGAAATAGGGGCCAAGTCATGTAGCATCTTTGAGGACATGTTCAAGAGCTAGGATTTTATTTAAATTATAATGGAATACGTTAGATGATTTAAAGCAAGCAAAGACTGATTTGATTTTGTTTTAACTTAGGCTGTTTTGTAGAGATTAAGGGGGCAAAAATGGAAGCAAGGAGACCATTGTGAAGGGCATTGTAGGCAGAGATGTAGGTAATTTGCATTAGAGTGATAATGGAGACAGAACTAAATATATTTTATAAGTTAGATTTGATAGGACTTGCTGATGGATTTTATGTGGGATATGTGGGAAAGTCAAGTCAAGGATGATGACTAAGAAGTTAGCCTAAGCAACTGGATGGGTGATGGTAGAGAAGGCTGGAAGAAAAAAGGTTGAGGGAAAGAGGGTAAGATGGTTGGTTACATCTAAGTGAGATGTCAGATAGGTAGTTGGGTCTATGATTAGAGCTTAGGCCAGGACTAGAGAAATTTGGAGTCACGTAGATGATATTTAAAGCCATGGAACTGTGAGAGATTTCCTAGAAAAATGGGTAGATATGCAAGAGAAGAGAGCCCTGGTCTGTGGTAGGAAGGAAATGGGATATATGTCACTAAGGGGATATATGACAAGAGGCAAGTTGTGAACTTAATGGGATGCTGCAGAATGGGTGAAAAAGGTGGCAGTAGATATGTGACCCTTTGATTTGGCAAGGTAGATGTCATTGGTGACCTTAGCAAAAATAGTTTTACTGGAGTGGGATGGTACAGATTGAAGCCCTATTTCAGGGATTTGGAAAGACAGTGAGCGTCAGTGTTGTATCATGGTTGAGAGGGAGAACTCGAACTCGGGAGCTAGAATGGCTGGATTTGAGTTCTGCCTCTGGCACTTACCAGCTGTATAATATTGAGCAAGTTGCTTTAACTCAGTGCCTATTTCTTCATCTCTAAATTGGAGAAAATAATGAATATGTGTTAAGCAAATCTTTGAATGCTGCCTGGTTTATAATTAACACTGTTTTAGATGAACAGAAAACTTTAAAAAATGTTATGAGTCAAAATAGTATTCTTCTTTTTAAGCCTCCAGTTTTTGAATTACTTATCAACTTTACTGCCATTTCTCTTTTTTCCCACTAAGCTAAAATTATAATAGTTACTTAGTGTTTATGCTTATAATTTTTCTTTTTAAAAATATATTTTTATTGATTTCAGAGAGAAAGGGAGAGGGAGAGATAGAAATATCAATGATGAGAGAATTGATCGGCTGCCTCCTGCACGCCCCCCTACTGGGAATGTGCCCTTGACCGGAATTGAACCTGGGACCCTTCAGTCCACAGTCCGACGCTCTATCCATTGAGCCAAACCAGCCAAGGCTATAATTTTTCTTTAGTTTTAACAAAGCATATTCCAGGTATCATGTAGCCTACTCAGATGACTAGCCCTGCAGTCATTACTTTTGGGATAAATAAGGCACTACATTAGTAGTAGGAATTGGGATTGGTCCTTCTATAATGTACATTGGTGTGGTAAAATTAATGGGATGCTGCAGAATGGATGAAACCTATCCAAGTTTCTGTTCCTTTAATTGCATTTCAGGTGAATTCTTTTAGATGATGAGTTTTAAAGCTCCAATTATTTAAGACCTGTGGTTTCTAACCTTGGTTTTGTGAAACTTTAGAATGGGCTCATTATCTGGAGGGATTTTTTTGCTTTACTTTAAAGTTGTATAATTGCCAAATAGCACCTGTTTGAGGGAGGAACATCTGAAGAAGAGCTAAGAGTAAGATGTAACTCAAATTTGTATAGAACTTTTTAGGTACTTTGTACTAGTAAGGCATCTCATGGTTTTGGACTTTGCCCCACATTTTGAATGTATTCATCCAGGAAACATTTATTGATTATTTAATCTTCTCTGTGCTAAACAGTGTGTTAGATATTGGGAAAATAGTAGGAAACAAGACATGAAATGACCATCTTCATATTGTTTACCAGTTAGCAGAGAAGACAAGTGTTAAACAAGTAATTACAAGTGTTGTGAAGTCCAGAATGTTGTCAAAATATATGTCTGGGAGGTCAGGAAAGGCTTTCCTGGCATGATAACATTTGATCTCAGTCTGCAAGAATGAAAGGCAGTTTGCTGGGGCAAAAGGATGGGAATGGAGATGTATGAGAGCATCCTAGGTTTTGGAGAGCAGATTGGATGAGGCCCTAAAGCAGTGGTTGTCCACCTTCCTAATGCTGCGACCCTTTAATACAGTTTCTCATGTTGTGGTGACCACCAATTTCATTGTTACAAATTGAACATAAAGCATAGTGATTAATCACAAAAACAATATGTAATTATATATGTGTTTTCCGATGGTCTTAGGCAACCCCTGTGAAAGGGTCATTCGACCCCCCCCCCAAAGGGGTCGAGACCCACAGGTTGAGAACCGTTGCCCTAAAGTGACAGAAAATGTGTCTTGGAGGAAATTAAAAAAAAGATCAAGGAGAAGAATAGCATTGGATAGCACCAGAGAGAGGAGCCAGATCACATGACTTTGTTGAGTCATGTTAAGGATTTTGGATGTCACTAAAGGATAATAGGAAACCAGTGGCGGGTTTTAGGGCAGGAGAGTTTTCAGATTGATATTTAAAATAAAAATAGCCTGGTTGCAGTTTCAGCATGAAATAAAATTCAGTAAATCTGTATTTTATTTGATTATAGTTCTGTAGATATATCAGAAATCTGAGTTAATTTTTCATTATTGAAAGTGTAGGTGTTAAAATTGACATCTTGAAATACTTAAAATTGATGTTTTGTTCTCTCAAACATTTGCTTAATTATACTTGCTAATAAAATAAAATTAGATATTGGTCTTTCCTTTGATAATGTGAAGAAAAATCTGTTTTTTTTATTTTCAAGTTTTCTGTTTTTGTTTTTAAACAGAAAAGGTTTTCTGCTGTTTTAAAACTTTTGTGAGTTTACATATCACTAAATGTGGCACTTTTATAAAATCATGAACTTTTTTAGCTGAAGGGAAACCTCAAGATCTAATCAAACTCAATTTTTCAGAAAATAAAATTGAAAGGCATTTAATGATGTACCCAGATTTTGTGAGTTTAGTAGTAAAGAACAGAATGCCTAAATTTGTGCTCCTGCTGCTAATGCTAAGTACTCCTCTGAAGATAGTGTGTTGTGTGGTGAAAAGAAAATGAGTTTTGAGTCCACATACACCAGTGTTCAAATCTTAGTTCTGCCACTTACTAACTGATTTCCTTATTAGTATAATAGGGAGAATTATACTTGTTTCCTTCTGTAGTTGAAAGGATTGAAGGGGGCACATTTTTTTAGAGCCTACTCCTTTCTTCCTTAAGTACTGGTTGATTAAACACAAATAGGTTACATTTCTATTGTTACTGTTACTATTATCACTATCATTGCTACTGCCACTACCACCTAACATTTGTATTCATTGATATGTTTTCTATTACTACCCAGTTCAATGAGGTAAGCATTGTTACCTCCATTTTGCAAGTGATGGCACTCAGGCCCTGAAGCACAAAGTCAAGATAACTTGCCTAGAGTCACAGAGTTAGCTATAGCTTGTAACTAAACAGTGATTTAAACAAAAGCTTTTAGACTCTGGAGTCATGTTTGTGTGTGTGTGTGTGTGTGTGTGTGTGTGTGTTTGAGTCATGTTTTTAAATTACTACTATACTGTACTTTCCTATTACTGTTTTCTCTTTTTTATTATAACATTTTCATAGTGATAGCTGCTATTGTAAGGGAACAAGTTCTGAGGCGTCATGGTTATCAGTGC